GGTCAGGCAGGTGGGTGAGCAGTGAGCAGGCTGCTGCTGGCTGGCACTCTGACCAGCCCAACTGCCAGTGGGGACACTAGTGGCCAGTGCTGCGCCTCCTGTCTTGGGGTGCTGAGGCTGCCCTAACACATGACTAGTACCTAGTGTCTTAAGGAAACATATGGGGCTAGGGTGCATTCAGACCCAGAGTGCTTGCCTAGCCTGCGTGAGGCCCTGGGTTCCATTGCTAGCACTGCAAGAGCAAAACAAAACACAAATAAAAGAAGAACAACAAGACCAAGATGCTTGTTTTCTCACAGTTCTGGAGGGCAGAAATCCAGGATTTCAGTGTAGGCAGGGCTGTGGAAAGCTCCTTCCTGCCCTTCCAACTCCTGGTGACTGCAACCAGTGTGGGCATCCCTTGGCTTGTGGCTTCCTCATTCCAATCCCAGCCTCTGATTTAGGTGGCTTCTCCTCTGTGTCACAGTGTCTTTCCTTCCTCTATGGGGACCGTGTCATTAGAGTAGGGCCCACCCTAGTCAGTGTGACCCCATGTTTATTAGTTACATCTGCAAAGACCCTATTTCCACAGAAGTCCCATTCTGAGGTTCTAGGTGGACATGAATTTGTGGTAGGAGCACTCAGCCCCCAGGTCACTTATGGTGCTACGGACAGCAAAGCTCATCCAAGGGCCTTGCTTTCCTCACCCCTCCACCTCTGGCACACTCCCGGTGTCCCCAAGATCCTGGTGGGGAACCGTCTGCACCTGGCATTCAAGTGGCTCATGCTCACTAAGCAGGCTCAGGCCTAGACTGTGTGCCTGGATGTGACCCTCTTTGAGGTCAATCCTCTGTGCAATTTCAACATCACAAAGTCCTTCACAGAGCTGGACGGATGGTGCTGGTGCGGTATGGGATGGACCTGCTCTGGAGGCCAAGCAAGGGTAGGCCAGGAGGGCCACTCCAGGCGTGAAAGCTGCTCCACAGCCCCGTGGACTCAGCTCAAGGTCACTGATCTATTCTCAAAAAGTAAATGTAATTAGAGAGGAAACAATTATCATGGCTTTGGATGAAGGCTCAGGTGAATAATTTTTGCAGTCTGTACTTCTTCGGCAGAGGTGGAGGAGTCACAAGAGCTTTGCTGCATGCCTGAGTACCACAGGCATAAGTGTCCCCAGATTCCGGTGGGGGCTGGGGGGAGGGGCGGAGGCCAGGTCGGGGCCGCCCTCTGCTGGCCAGCCCCAGGCAGGGACAGCACAAACTAAACTGCAGAGCTTGCAAGACCTCTGCTGTTGGGCTTTGGTGTCCTACAGCCAGTGCACCCCATGGAAAAGCTCCTGCTGCCCTTGGCCTTGAGGGGCCACTTCAAGTCCTTCTCTAAGGCCAACGGCAGCCCCAAAAAACTAATACAACAAGGAAATAAGTTGTACTCCACAGCAGGGAGTACTGTAGAGGATCCAAGAAGCATTTATGTGAAATAAAAACAAATGCTAACATGGATCACAGTAAGGAGGGTGTGAATTTAGGTGCTAGACTCACAGATAACATAATTAAATCATAGGCCAAACCCTAGAGAAAGGGTATCCTTTGTCATTTTTTGCTGAGACTTTCTGTGGACAAATTCCATCCAGAGTATGACCTTGAGTGCCCTGTACGTTCAGGTGTGCATCAGCTGCTTCCAAACCTTCAGATTCAGAATCTGCTAGCATGATCCCATCTTTGGTTGCCTCAGGGAATCAACTGTGTGGGGACCTTCCTGACAGGTCTGCTACTTTGAAGAGAAACTATTTTGACAAACAAGGAATCTGGAAGGAAAAAAAGGCACTTACAGATGATGGTGTTTCTCTGTAAAGAGCTGGCGCCACCGGGGTTCCCTGTGCTGGACAACAGCAAGGCAGGCCCTACAGGCCAGCAGGAGCTGCAAAGAGTGCTTCCCTGGGGAGAGAGGGTGCACCTGACCCAGAAAAGGGCACCTCTGGTGACTTGAACTGTGTAACCCACTGTGGTGACAAGACCACTGAGATCCCTGTTCCCCTCTCCTCTCCCACAGTAGCTCCCTCTTCTTTCCTCCCTCTTTCCCTCCCACAGTAGGTCCCTCCTTCCTCCTTCAGGGAGAGCCCTCCTCTCTCCTTCCCTGAAATGGAACCCAACAGCTCCAGGATCTGAAACTTTCCAAGGATGATATGACACTGCAGGCGGAAGATTCCTCACCTGACCCCATGTGACAGGGCCCAGTCAAAAGGCAAGTGGACTGAACACATTACATAAAACTACCTTTTGACTTTAGGTACAGGGTCTATATGAAACAAATAAATTTTGTATTTAGACTTGGGTTCCATCCCCAAGATATCTCATGTGTGTGTATATATATATTTCAAAACACAAAAGAATCATAAACATGAAATACTTCTTCTTTTTTTTTTAGTTCATGTCTTTTATTATCTCAAATACATTACATGCCTTCTGGTTTGTTGAAGCAGTAAGTCAGACAACACTTGTCACAATAGTGTCTGTCAAAGTGGCTGGCCATAAAACTCCACACCACATTCATCTGAAGGGCACTCACAGAGAAGGCAGCTAATTTTGCCATTTTCATCCACCTTATAATATTTCAGAACAGCCAACTTAATCTTCTTTCTCTTATGCTTATTCTTCTTGGGAGTGGTGTAAGACTTGTTCTTCCTTTTCTTAGCACCACCATGAAGCCTCAGAACAAGATGAAGGGTGGACTCCTTCTAAATGTCGTAGTCAGACAAGGTACGTCCATCTTCTAGTTGCTTACCAGCAAAGATCAGACTTTACTGATCAGGAGGAATTCCTTCCTTATTCTGGATCTTGGCTTTTACATTTTCTATAGTGTTGGAGGGTTCAGCCTCGAGAGTAATAGTCTTCCCCATAAGGGTTTTTAAGAAAATCTGCATCTCGGCGGCGGTCCCACGGCAGATGGCGGAAAGCTGAAATGACTTTTTCCCAGGAATTCTGGATAGACATATATGTACCACAGGCTGGGTGGCTTAAATAGCAGACATGTACTCTCAGTCCTGGAGGCTCAGAGGCAGAATCCACTGAAAGCCTCTCCCAGCTTCTGGTGGTGGCCAGGAACTCCTGATGCTCCCTGTGACCCAGGCACCCCAATCTCTGCCTGCTTCCTGTGGTCTGGCCCAGTGTCTTCTCCCTCTCTCTTCTCTTCTAAGGACACTGGCCATAGGATTTAAGGTTCACCCTCTAATCTAGGACTATCTCCTTTTGAGATGTTTGAATACATCTGCAAATAATTTTTTTTCTCAATGGTTGAATGCCCCTAAGTTCAATCCATGATACCAAATAAATAAATAAATCACATTCAAAGAGTCTGGTAGCATGTATCCTCTGTGGCCACCACTCAACCAACTACAGGGGACAGGCACCTAACCTGGAGAGTGGACATCCACTCACAGCTTCAGCTGCAGGAGAAAGAAAGAAACACTTAAGTGCAGGAGGAACATGTTGAGAAGCAAGTAGACCAGATCTGTAGAAACTCCTCAGAGATGGGGCAAATGCAGGAAGGGAGGAGATAGAGGAGGGCGGAACTCACCCACTGGGGAGGAGGATGCCATAGGAGGGAAGGGGGGGGGAACGCTGCCGGAAAGGAGTAGGGGGAACTCACCGAAAAACTCACCGAAAACGCTGCAGGAGGGGAGCAGGGGGGGACCCACTCACTGAGGACGCTGCAGGAGGGGAGCAGGGGGGACCCGCTCACTGAGGACGCTGCAGGAGGGGAGCAGGGGGAGACCCACTCACTGAGGATGCTGTAGGAGGGGAGCAGGGGGAGACCCACTCACTGAGGATGCTGTAGGAGGGGAGCAGGGGGCACCTGCTCACTGAGGTCGCTGCAGGAAGGGAACTGGGGGAACCAGCTCACCGAGGACACTGCAGGAGGGGAGCAGGGGGGACCCGCTCACCGAGGACACTGCAGGAGGGGAGCAGGGGGGACCCGCTCACCGAGGACACCGCGGGAGGGGAGCAGGGGGGACCCGCTCACCGAGGACACCGCGGGAGGGGAGCAGGGGGGACCCGCTCACCGAGGACGCCGCGGGAGGGGAGCAGGGGGGGACCCGCTCACCGAGGACACTGCGGGAGGGGAGCAGGGGGGACCCGCTCACAGAGGACACTGCAGGAGGGGAGCAGGGGGGACCCGCTCACCGAGGACACTGCAGGAGGGGAGCAGGGGGGACCTACTCTCCGAGGACACCGCGGGAAGAGAGCAGGGGGGACCCGCTCACCGAGGACACCGCGGGAGGGGAGCAGGGGGGACCCGCTCACCGAGGACGCCGCGGGAGGGGAGCAGGGGGGACCCGCTCACCGAGGACGCCGCGGGAGGGGAGCAGGGGGGACCCGCTCACCGAGGACACTGCGGGAGGGGAGCAGGGGGGACCCGCTCACCGAGGACACTGCGGGAGGGGAGCAGGGGGGACCCGCTCACCGAGGACGCTGCGGGAGGGGAGCAGGGGGGACCCGCTCACCGAGGACGCTGCGGGAGGGGAGCAGGGGGGACCCGCTCACCGAGGACGCTGCGGGAGGGGAGCAGGGGGTGGGAGGTGATGGGCAGCGAGGAGGGCGGGGACTGACTCACCGAGGACGCGGCAGCTAGAGAGCTGGAGGGGACCAGCAGCGAGGAGGGCGGGGGTCGCGCTCCGTTGAGCACAGCCAGTCACCTCTGTGTCCAGTAGGCCAACAGCTTGTTCCCCAGAGGCAGAACTGGGGTGGCCGTGTCCCAGAGTCGCCTTCCTGTCTCGTCACAGTCGGACGCTCTAGGCCCAATAGCTTCACCCTTTTCCCCGCCGGTCACCTGCGAGTGGATTAGCTCGGCGCTCCACCCCGCCTGGTCGTGGTTGAACGCGCTCGGCGCTCCTTTTCCAGCCTGCCGCGGTCGGATGCACTCCACACTCCCTGCCTAGTCTCTCCTAGGTTGGACTCCCTCGACGCTCGGAGATCTGCCTGTTTGCGCACGCACACGCACGCACGCACGCTGGCACGCTCGCTGGCGCGGTCGCCCTACGCCTCTGCCTCTCGCTTCCGGTCGCGGCGGCCTCCGTGCCGCCGGTCAAGACCGATCGTCGGGCGTCTGCGGGGCATGCGGCGCTGAGGAGCGGTGGACCTTGCGGCGGCGCCATGAACCTCCTGCCGTGTAACCCGCATGGCAACGGGCTACTGTACGCCGGTTTCAACCAGGACCACGGTGAGGCGCGCGGCCGGCGCTGCCCCCGCCTCGCGCCCGGGCCCCACCTCTGTTGCTGCTTCTGCCTCTGTCTCTGCCCTTGGCCCTGCCCCTGCCCCGCACCCTTCGTTCCTTGAGACCCCGGCCTGCCTCAGACCCTTCCTACCCGAGACCCCGGCCTGCCCCGGACCCTTCCTGCCCGAGACCCCGGCCTGTCCCGGACCCTTCGTTCCTCGAGACCCCGGCCTGCCTCAAACCCTTCCTGCCCGAGATCCCCGGCCTGTCCCAACCCTTCCTGCCCGAGACCCCGGCCTGCCCCGGACCCTTCCTGCCCGAGACCCCCGGCCTGCCCCGGACCCTTCCTGCCCGAGACCCCGGCCTGCCCCGGACCCTTCCTGCTCGAGACCCCGGCCTGCCCCGGATCCTTCCTGCCCGAGACCCCGGCCTGCCCCGGACCCTTCCTGCCCGAGACCCTCAGCCTGCCCCGGACCCTTCCTGCCCGAGACCCTCAGCCTGCCCCGGACCTTTTCCTTCCTGCCTGAGACCCCGGCCTGCCCCGGACCCTTCCTGCCCTGGACCCCCGGCCTGCCCCGGACCCTTCGTTCCTCGAGACCCCGGCCTGCCCCGGACCCTTCCTGCCCGAGACCCCGGCCTGCCCCGGACCCTTCCTGCCTGAGACCCCGGCCTGCCCCGGACCCTTCCTGCCCGAGACCCCCGGCCTGCCCCGGACCCTTCGTTCCTCGAGACCCCGGCCTGCCCCGGACCCTTCCTGCCCGAGACCCCGGCCTGCCTCGGACCCTTCCTGCCCGAGACCCCGGCCTGCCCCGGACCCTTCCTGCCCGAGACCCCGGCCTGCCCCGGACCCTTCCTGCCCGAGACCCTCAGCCTGCCCAGGACCTTTCCCTTCCTGCCTGAGACGGCTCCCTCATCCTCTGCCGGTCTGATCTCCACTAGCCTGACCCTGAGACTCCCAACTGGATCCCTGCCCATTTGGAGACCCCATCAGTGCCCTTCTCCTGGGCCTCTGAGGACTTGGGCAGGTGGCTGAGGCTTCCTGGGCCCAACAGGATCTTAGGCACCGTGCAGATTGTTGGGGGGGGGACACTGCTTGATGGATGATTCCTGTGAGGCCATGATCTCTGCTGGGTGTGTGTTCTCACCTGATGTGGGTCCATCCAGAAAATGCTGACCCCACTAGTTTTCCCTTTGGTTGGTGGGTTGGGAGGAACTCTACAGCTGGTCTCGGTGCAACTGCAGTCCCAGGGAAGGTGGCCCCCAGCACCCGCCCATGCAGCAGGGGTCTCTGGGATGGTTTTCTCTGCCTCACCTCCTAAATGTTATCATGGGGAAGCTGTTTAGAATAGACGTTTTGGACGCGGCTGGAAGAGGCCCTTGCAGTGTTTCCAATGCTCTTGCCCAGTTAGGCTTCTTGGCTCTGGCAGCAGTGGCAGAGGTGTGTCCTGGCCCCAGCCTTTGGGTGGAGAGTTTCCCTGTAAAAAAGTGTTTCAAGAGAGCACTGTGGACGGCCTCATTAGAGAGTGGTTTCCAACTTTTGAGTACCTTTGTAGTACCTTCTTTTTATTGAAATATATTATGCATGCAGAGTGCAAGTCAGGTGTTGGGCCTGGCATTTTCCAAGCCAAGCCCACCTGTGGCCAGCATAGGTTACAAGGCTGAGTACACCTGTCAGTGCTCCTTGCCACAGCTGCCCAGGTGCCCACCTGACTTCTGGCAGCATAGGTCAGTTTTGCCTGCTGCCAAACTTGTTTCTATTTTTTTTGTTGTTGTTGTTTTGTGGTGTTGGGGATGGAACCCAGGGCCTTGTACCTGCTAGGTAAATGCTATTGCTGTTTCTGACTTTTATCCAACATCGTTTATAAAGGCTTTTTTAAAATCTTCACATTGAGTTGAGTGTAGTTGTGGATGCTTCTCTTTGATATGTAGTGGTCCTCTGTGGGAATAGATCACATTTATCCATTTTGTCATCAGCAGGCATTTGGTCTCCAGAAGTATAAAGTGCCACTGTGATTATTCTAAAATATGTGTCTTTTAGTGAGCGTATGTTCATATTGCTACAGGGGGTATACTCCCATATTCCCATGCACAGAATGCTCTGCTATCATAGCGCCAACAGTTTTCCTCTACTAGCAGGTCTCAGCTGGCTCACACTGGGTGTTTTCCACCATTCTGGCTGGTGTGCAGTAGATCCAGTTTTGCAGTCTTATCTGCATTTTCCTGATTTTTTTATATCTTTTTACCCTGTGAATATCCTCTTTGGTGTTTTTGTTTGTCTACCTTTTGCTTGTGGATTTATCAGGGTGATACACACACACACACACACACACATTGTTTTCAGAGCTTTTTTGGAGGGGAGGGGATATGGGGGATTGAACTTAGGGGCACTCAACCACTGAGTCACATCCCTAGCCCTATTTTTCTATTTTATTTAGAGACAGGGTCTCACTGAGTTGCCTTACATTTTTTGCTTTTAATTTTTTTTTGTAGTTATAGATGGACAGCATGCCTTTATTTTATTTGTTTATTTTTATGTGGTGCTGAAGAGCAAACCCAGTACCTCACATGTGTCAGGCAAGTGCTCTACCACTGAGCTACAGCCTCACTTTTGAGGCTGGCTTTGAACTCATGATCCTTCTGCCTTAGCCTCACAAGCCACTGGGATTACAGGCATGCACCACCATGCTCAGGTCCTGAGATTTTTTTTTTTTTTTAACTTTATTTATTTTTTTTATGAGGTGCTGAGGATTGAACCCAGTCCCTCCCATGTGCTAAACACACTCTACCACTTAAACACAGCCCCAGACCTGGCTTATATATTTTTATATAAGGCTTCGTTCAGAATTATATGTGTTCTCATGAAGAGAAATCACAGGTTTAAAACTTGAAAAAGAAGAAATAATGAAGCTGGATGCAGCGGCACAAGCCTGTAGTCTCAGCGGCTTAGGAGGCTGAGGCAAGAGGATCACGTGTTCAAAGCCAGCCTCAGCAATCTGAAGAACAAAGCACCTTAGTGAGACCCTGTCTCTAAGTAAAATAGAAAATAGAGCTGGGGATGTGGCTTCAGTAGTTGAGTGCCCCTGAGTTCAATCTCTGGTACCCCCCCCCCTCCAAAAAAAAAAAAGTAATAGTGAGAAAGGAAAAAAATAAGAAATTTCAACTTTTGTTTTCTGTATTTTCCAGCAAGGAGAGCTCTGCTTCCTCTATCTGGATTAGGTGATTCCAGTAGCATAAAAAGGGTGTTGTGACCTGGCAGAGTTTGAGGCAATATCATAGCACTTCCAAGTGAGTTTCAGATCTAGCCCAAGGAAACTATAGTTCAGAGCATGAGTTCAGTGCAGGTGTGCTCTGCAGCTGCTCAGGTAGCTGTCATGGTTCCTTGGATTTGTCAGTGACTTGGTGTGCTTTTCCCATTTGGAAGGGTGGCTGGCAGAACAGCTGTGTGGTTCTAGAGCTGGAGAGGTGGATTGGAGAGGCCTTTGCCCTGGCTTTCAAACCACTGGTGCAGGAACTAGACTTTGCAGCAGCTCTTGTGAAAAAAATTTGGAAGGTTGTTTTTTTTCTCTCCTGGCTTAAGTTTTGCTTCAACCAGTTGGATGTTGCCCAACCCTGCGCTGAGACCCTTCCTTCCTCAAGACCCTGCCAGGGTATTGCCTCGGGCCACAGGAGCCAGCACAGTGTCCTTTGGAGGTCTGAGTGCCTGTCCAGTTTATGGCAGCACCTTTTATTTGGCCATTAAGCACTTGGGTGTAACTTAAGAGATTGTGTGGGGGACTTCCAGACTTTCCTCCAGGAGGTCATTCTGTAGGTGGCGGGGAGCAACCCTCGTTCTGTCCCCATCCCAGCCATGTAAGACTGTCCTCTGCCCAGCACCTGCTCTTCCCCTAACCCAGTGCCTTCACACCGGCTCGGATAGCGCGCTTTGTGCCTGTCTTCCTCCAGAGGTGAACATTTTTGTTGGCTGCTGCCCCTCTGGGACCCAGCACAATGCCTGACACAGCATGATGTGTTCATGGAGGGGAGGCCAGGGAGACTGGCGTGGCCTGTGGCAGGTTGCTGGTTGAGGATGCCAGTTTCTCCAAGCCCTGGCTTTTACCCATGATAGGCCTCAGGATTAATATGTCCCTTTTACCTTTCCTGCTTTAGGATGCTTTGCATGTGGGATGGAAAACGGATTCCGAGTCTATAACACTGATCCACTGAAAGAGAAAGAGAAACAAGGTAAGAGAGTAGCAGACACTTCTGGGCTTCCCTAGCCATACTCAGTGTCTACCTTGTCTCACACCTGGGAGAGATGCCATGGCTATAGGGCAGTGGTTTCTGACAGGTCAGAAGGGTTTGGGCCCTTTGTAAACTGGGACAGTCTTTCTTCTGTGAGCTCTGCTACCTACTGTGTTAGATTATCAAGGTGTGAGCTCTTTGGAAGAGCAAGGTATATTTGGGCAGGTCACTTTCACTTTCTTCATGCTGGAGATGATGCTGTAGGGAACTCACAGGGTGAGGGACTTAGCGCCCAGTGTTACTTGTAATGAGTTGTGGTTGCTGCTGTTCACCTGTTTCAGTGTCTTACTCTGCTTTCATGAAACAGGAGTTTTCCAGAGCTGGAGTCAGGAATTGTGCTGGTGAAATATAGTGGTGCTCTTCCCATCGTCAGGCAGGGAGGTCAGCTCTGCGGGTAGGGCTTCTTCAGATTGGTTTCCCTTCCTGCACGTTTCTCAAATACGTGGTGTTCCCTGGTCTGTACCTGCTGGGAGACTGTCCTTGCTGCTGGACAGATCTTAGATAGCTACTGGATCAAGCAGCAGCCTCTTCCTGCAGGAGTAGGATAGAATTCTTCCAGAACTGGCCTCGAGAATTCTCAAGAGGAACACTAAGGTGCTAGTGTCCATTCAACAGCATCCTGCGTCAGGGTTTTTAGAGCTCCCAAAGCCACAGAGCCCGTTTTCAAATGAAATCTCATACACCATCCATTTATTTTTTTATTTTTTGGGGTACCAGGGGTTGAACTCGGGGGTACTCAACCACTGAGCCACATCCCCAGCCCTCTCTTGTATTTAGAGACAGGGTCTCACTTAGTTGCTTAGCACCTTGACATTGCAAGGCTGGCTTTGAATTTGTGATCCTCCTGTCTCAGTCTCCTGAGCTGCTGGGATTACAGGCATGTATCTGGCACATGCACCATCCAGGTAGTCCTATACATCTTGGAGTTTAATTTTTAAGCTGAAGTTCATAATCATAATTCACTGTGAAAAAGTAGCATGACATGTAGTGTCGGACTCAGGCTGAATCTGTCATACTAGCAGATTCTAATCTTGGTTTTGCTGCCTTCCCAGTTGCTGTGTGATCTTGGACAAATTTTGCAACTTCTTTGGGCCTCGGTTTCTCCATATGTAAAGGGAGGATAGTAGTGATGCCTACCTTTTAGGGTTACTGTAAAAATGGTGGATTGGAACATGTGAACATATGTCAGTCCTGGTCTGCAGGCTAAATGAAGAGGCTGAATGTGCTGGTGTTATCAGACTGGCAGCAGCTTAACCATTGCTGCAGTCCCTGACCCAGAGGCAGACACCTGAAAACTGAAGGGATGATGAATGCTGTGCAGATGGAGATTTTTTCCCTTTTCACACAACAGGAAGATTAAGTTTATAAATCAGGCCCAGGAGGGGTTGACAACTGTGAGCTGTTGCAGAACTCAGCGATCTTGGCATGCAATTTTTTCTTTCTTTGAGGTTAAAATGTTTGCCTTTCACTTAAGGAGGAGTGTTGTGGCCCCTTTGGCATATTGGATTGCTGGCCTCCCCACTCTTGACTTTGGGTCTGTAAGAGAACCAGGGGTTCCTGGAGCAGAAGAGCTCTGCTGTCTGGGTGCTGTCCAGTGAGTAGGGGGCGGGAGGTTGTGCCCTGTGGCTATGCTGGACTAGGGGTGATTGGTCCGGGGTGGGCCAGGATGGTGTGAGGTTTGGTCACACTTCTCAGAGCAGCTTGAAACTTAGGAATTGTTTATTTCTGGAATTTTTCATTTGATGGTTTTAGACTTCAGTTGGTCACAGGTAACAGAAACCAGGAAAAGCAAAGCCATAGGTTAGGGTGCTGCTGCTCGGTGGGTCAGTGGACCAACGAGGGCTGCCACTGATAGTACTCACCTGCTGGTGCCCCTGTATCTGCTCTCTGTGGGTGGTATAGTGAGTTGGCAGCTTTGCTCCTGCAGAGGAAGGAGTCACTGTGAAACCTTATAGAGCAGCTGTACCTGCAAATGTCAGGTGCTCTTTACCAAGTTGACCCCAAGCTTAAAGATGAGTTGTGCACATTGTTATCAAACTGTTAGCGATTCAGTCAAGCGGTTAACAATTGCTTCCTAACTGATGGACTGTTTACAGTAAACCAGAATTTCTTGTACATTAGACAAGAAGAATCTGAGACTCACCAGTTCCAGTCAGTTCTACCATGGTCATGACCTTGCACAGTGCCCGCCCTCCCCTGTGGCTAGGCAGGCTTGGAGGATCAGCACCTGTGGGGGTGGGGCGGGGGCATGCTTACCCTCCAGCTGCTGAGAGAGACCCCAGAGGGCGTCCCAGGAAGGTCCCCTTGACACTTGTGGGCTGTTTTGCTGTGACATTTTGGCAACTTCAAAGAAGAGCAGGTTTGCCCAGTTCCTGCTTTGTTCCTGTGGTTTGCTCCAGGATGGTGAGGAAGGAAGCTCTCCTCACCCTGTTGCAGCAGTCTGTCCTCCGTCTGGTTATGGGTGAGGAAGCCATGAAATTGCCACTTGGCAGGAACAGGAAGCTAATAGTGAGGGAAGCCCCTTGGGTTTCTTGGTCTTGCAGTTGGGAAGTTCTGAGAGGCCCTGCCAGGTCTCCTGCACACCTGCAGTAAGTCTGCTCTGGAGGCAGCTCAGCTGCCAGCAGCACTGCTTCTCGCCTGTGGCCTCGGGGGCCCAGGGAGGGGCTGCTTGAGTTGGTAGTGTTTGAGAACGGTACATTTGGACAAAGTATTTCACCCAGCAGTTGCATGGGCATACAAGAGTGCCCACGCCAAGCCCACACTTCCTTATGGGACCCTCTCACTCTGCATGGGCTGCAGGAGGGACTGGCTGGAAGGCTTCTCTGACTCTTCTGGATGTGGAGTCTGCCTCCTTTTTTTTTTTTTTTTTTGAGATGGGTCTTGCTCAGTGGCCCAGATGGCTTTGAACTCGAGGTCTCCCACATCCCCCGGTAGCTGTGACCACAGGTGTGTCCCCTGTACCTTCCCAGGTCTCGCATTTAGCTCCTAAGGCTTTATGACTTCATGATATTTTTCTAGATTGCTTTAATCTGCTAGCAACAAGCATACAGGTAAACAAAATATTTGTGTATTTTTTTAAACATTTTTTTTTTCACAATACCTTTGTTCTATTTATTTTTTATTTCTATATGCTGCTGAGGGTCAAACCCAGGGACTCACATGTGCTAGGCAAGTGCTCTTCCATTGAGCTACAGCCTAGCCCTTGTGTATTTTAATAGGTAATAAAATACATAGACTTTTGTTGTTGTTAAAGGCTTAGAGAAAATTGTTTAAAACTTTGAAATTGCTTTTGTGTAGGATTTAATGTGCCTGTGGCAGAAATCTCCCTCCTTCACGGGGCACCTCAGTGCTGTCTGCAAGTCGTAGTCTGATAGTGCCAGGGTCACGCTTCCAGAGGGAGCTTTGCTTTGCTGAGGGCTGGAGTCGTGTCCTGCTAAGGGGAGCGGTGGTGAGGTTCTGTGGGCATAGTGCAGACACTGGGTGCATCTGAGGAGTGCCTGGCTACACCTGGGCTGCTCACATGGCTTTCTGAAGCCCAGGGGCCTGCATGGGGATGCAGTTTCGCCTCTGAGACCCCGGGCACAGGAGTTCTTGCATACTGCATGTTACTTTTTGGACTGTGGTTAAATCATACAATTTACCATATTAACCATTCTTTTTTAAAATATTTTTCAGTTGTTGATGGATCTTTATTTATTATATGTGGTGCTGAGAATTGAACCCAGTGCCTCACACATGCTAGGCAAGCGCTCTTCCGCTGAACTACAGCCCCAGCCCCCATCTTAACCCTTCTTCAGTGTACCGAGATCAGTGTTGCTACATTTACATTGTGTTCAACACACCACTAGAATTTTCCGCAAGGTGATTGCAAAACTGCAACTGCAACTCTGTACTTTTAATCAGTTGCCCACCACCTCTGTAGCCACTGCTGACCACCCTCTTCTTTGTGTCCCACTGACTTGGACAATTGTGGAAGCTTAATGTAAGGGCCGTCTGCAGCACTAGTCAGGCATTTTGTGCCTGTGGCCTGGCTCCGCAGGGGGCCCTCAGTGCTTGTCTGTGTGGCAGCAGGTGCCACAGCTGCCTTCCATTTCAAGGTGAGTGATGTTGTCGTGTGTCTACACTGCATTGGTCAGTGGACACTTGAACATGGGTATACGAGTCTCTGTGAGACCCTGCTCTCAGATTTGGTGGTGGTGGTGGTTTTTTGGATATATACCCAGGAGTGGGACTGCTGGATCTTGGGATGGTTCCATTTTTAGTTTTGGAGGTTCCCCAGAGCAGCTGCACTACCAACACACAAGGTGCCAGGGTCTGCGGGTGCTCCCCAGCCCTTGGCGCTGCCGGTTTTTTCTGATGGCTACCATGCTGGTGGGCAGGAGGTGAGAATTTCCTAGGTGCCATGTGCGTGCTTCTGATGCCTCATGGTTGCGTGTCTTCATGTGCTTGTTGGCATGTTTTTTGTTGATATTTTTTGGTTGTCAGTGGACCTTTATTTCACTACTTTTATGCCATGCTGAGAACGGAACCCAGTGCTTCACACATGCCAGGCAAGCGCTCTGCACGGAGCCCCAGCCCAGCCCCTTCTGGGTAGTTTGCACAATGATTTTGGAAAATGATTGAGTTACTTGATTTTTGTTGTAAGAGTTCTTCATGTATTCTGAGTATTAACCTCTTATAGATAAATGATTTCAAATACTAAGATGGATATTGTCCCATCTGTCTTATTTCTGATGTCATAGCCAGGAAATCATTGCCAAATTCTCTTCTACAGGAGAATTATAGCTTGGGGTCTTTCTTGTAGGTCTTCAGTGCGTTTTTTAGTGCACGTGTATGTGTAGTGTGGGGGAAAGTCCAGGTTGTCCTCCCCTTTGTGTGTACAGCCTCTGAGCTGCAGAGGGCATCAGGAGCCCTTCCTTAGTTCTGGCAATAGCCATTGGGCATCCCTATAGGCGTGCACAGGTGGAACTGCACACCAGCTGGCAGCCCGTTTCCTGTTGTGTGGTGAGCTAACTTAAGGAGGAGGGTTGTGTCCCTCCTGCAGGGAAGGAGCTGCAGGCTTTCACAGGTCAGAACCACTCCTGGCCCAGAGGAGGAAGAGCTGCTGTAACCACTTGGGTGGGCACCGTGGCCACTTCCTGTTAAAGCCAGAGTTACTCTGAGGTTGTCTAACATGTCAGATGACTGGTCACTTGTCTGTGTGGAAAGTTGTCTGCACCATGGGCAGCGCTGTTTGCTTCTGCTTAGGATGCTGCCCGGCCTGAGGTGTAAATCTCCTGGAGTGAGCAGAGTGCTCTCAACTCCCTGTGTACCTGAGACTGGAGAGGGAAGTCTGAGTAGGTTGACACCCTGACTTCCCATGTTTTGGTTTCCCGTTTTCTCGGCTTGTCCGTGCTGTCTTGAGCTCCAGGTCATGGCATAGACCTGAGAGTCGGGCGGGCAGTCCTCACCTGTGCTCCCAAGTTGCTTCCCTGAGAGCCTTGGGCACCTGCCGTGGGTTTTCAGGGACACCCGGAAGTCAAGTGTTCGATGTAATTCATGAGCAGTTGAGAACTTGGGGCCTAGTGGGGTGGACAGGTGGAGGCTACTCCCTGAGAGCTCTATGGCATCTTGAGGTGTGATTGTGGGTGTGCCACGGGCTGGACAGAGCCAGATACCTACTCTGGCTCCTCGCCATCACCTTTCTTGTGTGTGACATGTTTGGGTGTGAACTGCCACCTGAAAATGAAATGCTGAGCTTTATAAGGCTTGACTTGAACTGTTTTAATTGTGAAACACACATTAATTTACTACAATTGTCTTCTTGAAATTGTCATTTCAGAATTTTTAGAAGGAGGAGTTGGCCATGTGGAAATGTTATTTCGCTGCAACTATTTAGCTTTAGTTGGTGGTGGAAAAAAGCCAAAATACCCTCCCAACAAAGGTAAGGTCGTTAGCCTCTTAAGAGCTCGCTTTGTGCACAGCGCTGCAGTCTGTGGTCCGGGGCCTGTTTGGCCTTCCCTGGTGGTCCTGTGAGGCTGGAAGAGCCTCTAGGAGGAATGGTGGTGTGGAGGACTGCCCTCAGTGCTGGGGCAGGTGGAGGTGTGTTGCATCCTGAGTTGGTGCCAGGAGTGTCATGGGTTCATCGTGAACCAGAGTGTGAGCAGCACTCCCCTTCCACAGCCACAGAGAAGCATGAGGCATGTACGCCTGGGCATGTATGTGGTTGTGGGCATGTTTGCAGCACTGAGGAAGAGGCTGCATGGGGAGGTCTGGCCCTTTTTTGATGGAGGCGTGGAGAACTTTGCCCTCCACCACTGTGGACACTGCCCGTAAGCCAACTCTTCTTGCTCTGGGTTGAAAAAGAGGTCTTAAGAAGAATGAGACCCCGACAGGAGGTTGAGGTACAGGTAGAGAGGATGGGCCTCAGGGCCTGGAATGCCAGTTGAGGTGTACCCAGGAAGAGGCACCACACAGTCTGTGTGGAGGAAGACCTCGTCTAGAAGCAGTGTGGGAAGTGGGCTGGGGAGACACTGCAGGCCAGGGGCCACCCTTCACAGCAGGTGGGGAGAGGGAAGCAGGTGCAACTCTGACCAGTGTCAGCAGAGCAGGGAGCGTGGGCCAGGGAAGGCCACTTATCTGGTAGCAGGAAGGTCCAGTGGTGGCATCACGGGACTGTGGGGTGGAACCAGTGGTGACCTCTTCCAGAGGGAGGCAGGAAAGAGGAGCAGTTGGGAGGGACAGAGCATAGGTGCCCCACCAAGGAGTGGGTGAGCTGGGGTCTGGCTGTGACCCTGACACTGGGAGTAGCCCAGTCCTGTTGGAAGAGCAGAGAGAGGGATGTTGGGGCTGGCGTGCAGCTCAGGGGTAGAATATATGCTTGATGTTAGCAAGGCCATGGGTTCCAGCCCCAGCACCAAAAGGAAGAAACACAAAAGAAGGGCTGTGTGGACAGGGTGGGGTCCTTAGTGACTGCCATCATCTCCCGCACAGGCTCTCTGTCCTCAGCAGGAGTGGAACCTGCACTGCGGAGGTTAGCCCTGAGCCTTTTGCTTTTGTTTGGGAATTAGGAACAGAGAAATAAAGTGGAAAGGGGTTGCTGGTAGGAAAAAGAGTGAAAGAATGAGTCTTGGCCCAAAGGCTGTTGGAAGGACTCCCCAGTTTAAGGTGGTGCTCTGTTGGGCTGAAGCCCCGTGCAGAGTGGCTGCCAGCAGCAGGTACGTGTGAGCAGGCTCAGTCCCGAGAAGTTCTGCCCTGGAGAAGAGCAGGGCACCCCAAAGGATGAACAGTCTTGCTCTCTCTATGAAACAGAAACATTCCCTTCCCCTTTCTCCCCCACCTCTCCCTCCTTCCTCTCTTGTTCCTTCCTCCTCACTTTCTAAGAGGGATCAAATCCAGGGCCTTACCCATGCTAGGCAAATATCTCCCCCAACCCTTTTTATTTTGAGACAAGGTCTTGCTGTGTTGCCTTGAACTTGTGATCCTCCTGCCTCAGCCTCCCAAGTTGCTGGGATTATAGAAGCCCCTCTTTCTTTGGATGCAGGCTATCTCAGCACTATAGCACTCGGTGTCCTCTTTCCCTCTCCTGCGCCCTTCTCTCCCTCCCTCTCAGGGGCTGTCTCAGCACTGTAGCATTCAGTGTCCTCTTTCCCTCTCCTGCCCCCTACTCTTCCTCAGCACTTTTGCACTCAGCTGCTGTGATCAGGTGTGCTTTTTGGCTCAGGCAGTGGAGCCAGGGAGGTGGTGTCTGCCTGAGGTGACCAGGCAGGAAGGGCTGGCAGAGTGTGTCCTGCAAGAGGAAGGGGTGGGGAGCAGCAGGGTCTGGGGCAAGTCCCAGGGCCAAGTGCTGGCTGGGGGGAGGGCAGGTGGGGGGGGCTGCCCACCAGGGGCCCTTGTCCTTCTGGTTTCAGTGATGATCTGGGACGACCTGAAGAAGAAGACTGTCATTGAGATAGAGTTCTCCACCGAAGTCAAGGCTGTCAAGCTGCGGCGAGACCGGTGGGTTCCCAAACACCTTCAAGCAGGTGGCTAAGGTGCTTTTCTGTCCAGGGAGGGAAATGTTTAGGGAAGGATGCAGTGAAGAAGCGATAGCTGCTGTTGGTGCCCAGCAAGTGTACCAGAAGAGTCACTTGTGTTCCTGGGGGAAGGTGGGGAATGGACTGGCTTCTGGCCTTGGGGACGGTGACCTTTAGGACCTGCCCCCCTGGGCAGTCAGAGCTGCAGCCTCACAGGGTGCCTCTAAAGTATGTTCCTGGTAGAGGGGGAGGAGCCCTGGGAGCTCTGGGGTTGGACTCTCACTTGCTGGGCTGCAGAGGGCCTGCCCTCCGCCCAGGTGCTATGGAGCTTCCCTTGCACTTGTCTTGGTTCCATGTGACCAGCGCACTGCGCGGTTTCCATTCCACCTGTAGGGGCAGGACAGGGGTGGTGACCTGCATTCCATTTGGGCTGGTTATTTCTAGTAAGGTCACTATTTAAAAGCCCTTCACAACGAAATGCTTGATTGGCTCAAAGACCTTTCCCCTTGCGAGATTTTCCTGATTGTCAAGATGGGCGAGAGACTCTTGCCCTGGGTGAGGTGTGGGTCAGGACACCTCGGAGGCCAGCCTCTGCCAGGTGAAGGGGCTGCTCAGTGGAGTGTGGCCTTTATTGCTGACTTCTGGGCACCACGTAGGGGGCTGCAGCCCAGGCCTCTCCCGTGGCACATCCAGTGTTTGAGTTTCAGAAATCACAAGATGCCCATCTCCCTTTCTGAGGAGAGGATCTGAGTGCGTGTATCTTGCAGGATCGTGGTGGTCCTGGACTCCATGATTAAGGTGTTCACCTTCACGCACAATCCCCACCAGCTGCACGTCTTTGAAACCTGCTATAACCCTAAAGGTGAGGCTCTACGTGCGAGGTGAGTGGGGAGTGGTTATGTGCCACAGCTGGGACGTGCCCTGCAGCCCCTCTGCTGGCATCAGCTCTCAGCCAGAGCCGACTTCTATCCTGTCCTTGGAATGCTGGCCTCAGCGTTTCCTTCCTTTTCTTCTGCATCAGAGGTCATTGTACAGACTAGATTATTCATGGTATCATCCTCACATCTTTACAATGCTCAAGCTTTCCCCCTGGGTGTTTTTTGGTGTGGGGTCTTGCTGTGCTGCGCAGGCAGGCCTGATGCCCTGGGCTCCCCAGCAGTGGGTGCTTTCTCCTTCCAGCAGCCTGTGCTTCTGTCCTGTGCCAGTACCGCTCTTCCTCCATTTCCTGAGCTTTAAAGCAAGTCTTGACATAGGTAGCAGGCCTCTGGCCTCAGTGCTGTCTGAGGAAAAGAAGGTCTGGCTGCTCTCTAGGCAGCAAGTTTCCTCACAGCTGTCCATGTCAGCATGTCTGCGGAGGCTTCGCTGTGTGGTGCTGGCATGGGCCCTTAGTTGGGGCCAGGGGCTGATGATATGGATCACCCACGGGGTCTGAAGCCTCTGCTGTGTGTGGGGCTCCCCTGCCATTGTTCATGCCTCCTCTTGTGCCTTTGTCTTGCATTCTCACGAGGTGGCCCTGCAAGAGACCAGCGGGCAGGATGCGTGCCTTAACGAACTGTGGAGCACATGGTTACCTTATGGGGGTGCTTTTGGCCCTGATGCCCATTAGCCAGCCATCTGTAGGAGTGTGCCCTTGAAGAACCCGTGCAGAGCTCTTGTTTTTCCCCAAGGTTTTGGAAAGTAGGTTTTGGCTGTGAGAAGTCAGGCTTTGGCTGGTTGTCATCCCTTGATGTTTTTTTCTGTCTCCATTAGGCCTCTGTGTCCTGTGTCCCAACAGTAATAACTCCCTCCTGGCCTTCCCTGGCACCCACACTGGCCATGTGCAGCTCGTGGACCTGGCCAGCACTGAGAAGCCACCTGTGGACATCCCCGCACATGAGGGTGTCCTGAGTTGCATTGCTCTCAACCTGCAGGGCACAAGAATTGCAACTGCATCTGAAAAAGTAAGTGTGTGGGTCTCCTTGTTGGTGGTGCTTATGGAAGGGCAGCCTCTGCAGAACCCTCCTTTGCCAGCTGCCCAAGTGGCCCTTCCACGGACTGGTCTTGTCATGTGACGGGGCTGAGGCTGTGATTTCACACATCCTCCAAATGTTGAAAACACAATAAAAATACTTAAACAACAATCCTGCCAGGCATGGTGGCCACGACACCAATCCCAGCAACTCTGGAGGCTGAGACAAGGGGGATCACAAGTTCCAGGCCAGCCTGGGGCAATTAGTGGGACCCCATCTTAAAGAGGCCTGGGGATTCTACTCAATAGTAGTTGCACCACCCCCACACAATAAAACAGCCACACCCACCCTATTTCTTATTATTGGGCACAGTGTCCGTGTCAGTGGCACAGCCTCCCAGAGCCACTCAGTTTCTGTGCCGAGGCCTTGGCAACCTGGTGACTGCCTGGGACCCCTTTTCCCACCTGCCTGAGAAGGTGTCCTTAGTGAATACCACCACCACCATTTTAGAGTGTTGACTGTGTGATTCCTCAGCTTGCCTATGATGAACAGGTACTTAATTTTTTAAATAGTTTAAAATCTGGGTTCTTACACTTCCTTTAGCTTGTTAATTCAGAGTTTTTGAAGAGAAGATCCATACCTTTTTATTCCAGTTTTCATCTAAAACTGCAAGTGTAGGTTCACCTTTGGGAGTTGGAAGCTGTTAATGGGTGAGAGCATGAACCAGTGACTGTCCATCTGCGGGTCAGTGCATGGCTCTGTTCCACCCTGGCCACGTGGCAAATGCTGCCATGGCTGGAGCCTGGGGTAAGAGCACATGCGCCAGGATAGGCCCTGTCGATTTCACATGTCACTCTTCCAAATGTTACATCAGTAGCACATGACATGGCATGAATGCACGAACACCGTCCTCCTCCTTTGTGGCCCGTCTTTTCTTGTCGCCCAGGTCTGGGTGTTGTCTCTCTGGGGAAGGGCCTTCCCTTCTGTGGCTCATCCTCAGTGGGTCAAGTAGCCACTTTTCTGTTGCCTGTGGGAGTGACTGTGTGGGTCTGGGAGCAGTGGGGACACCCTGGCTGGTGTTTGTGTGGGATTGGCCAGGGAAAGGGGTGTGTGGGCCAATCTCCACAGCCTTGTCCTGAGCTCTGCCCTGCTGCTGTGGGACCCAGCACCACCAGTCTGTTCTCAGCGAGCCACAGGTAGAGGGACAGACAGTTGTGGGCCTCATGGGAGGATTTGGGAGAGGGGTGTGTGGGCTTGTGAACTATCATTTCAGAAACTAACTGGACCTGTGAATTGTTGATAATGAAACACTTCGCTGTTTTTCAAAGGGGACCCTTATAAGAATATTTGATACTTCATCAGGGCACCTGATCCAGGAGCTGCGAAGAGGATCCCAAGCAGCTAACATCTACTGGTGAGGACACTGGCTCCTCGCCTGCAGGAGAGCTAGGCTGGGCATGCCTGGGCAGAGGTGTAGGCTTTGAGGGTGTTGGGTTCCAGATCTTTCAGCTTTTTATTGTGGGAAGTGTGCACAAAAATGGAACCCTCGCCTCTGCTCCAGTTGTTCCTGTGTGTTTCCCAGCAGGGGCTCGGATCACTGCAGCCTGTTAGCCTGACCCTGGGCTGCCCCCGGCACCACGGGTTCTGGTGCTGGGTGTAGGAGCCTCTCCTGTCTGCCTGCTCTCAGGACAGAGGCCATGTGGCCAGTGCCTGCCTGGTGCCTGACACTGTCCCCCAGGGGCAGACTGTCTCCATGCCATGCCAGTGGAGCCAGCACTGGGGCACCTCAGGCAGCCCTTGCCCTCCCTGGCACTGGGGCTTTGACCCTCTAGATCAGGTTCCATGGTAAAAGCCATTGGCCTACAAACAGGCAGGGTGCTTCTTAACATTGCACCTCAGGTGTAGGGATGTTGAGGTCTCCGGGGTGCAGGCCAGCAAGCATGCTGTGCAGGTTGGGTCTCTGGTCTTTCCTGCATCTTCAGAAACCCAGCTTTTCTGTTTTCCTTCGTAGCATCAACTTCAATCAGGATGCTTCTCTCATCTGTGTGTCCAGTGACCATGGCACAGTGCACATTTTTGCAGCTGAAGACCCAAAGCGGAATAAACAGTCCAGGTGGGTTAGGGGAAGGCTGCAGGGGGGCCTGGAGTTAAGGGCTGGAGTGCGCACAGAGCTGGGGGAAATCACCTCATCATCTCCTTGGGGTTTATGAGGCCATGTCCAAAGCTGCCCTTGGCCCTGTGCCAGCCTGGCGCTGGCTTAGGCCCTCGTCCTGAGCATTGTGATGGCACTCTTTGGGTTAATTTGACCGCAACAGAGTCTGTGCCTTTCATATCAAGAGCATCTAGTTTTATTATAAGACCATTTCTAAGGACTCAGAGATTTTGTTAAAGAAAATAGAATTTAAAGAAGTGTAGGTCCAAAACCGTGCCAGGGAGAAGGTCTGGGTATTGTTGGCAGCCTTCTGGGAAAGCTGGCAGCCCTTCTGCATCACTTCACCTAGTAATGCGACCGCCCCTCTGTCTTCTTGTCCTCGCAGTTTGGCATCAGCCAGTTTCCTCCCCAAATACTTCAGTTCCAAATGGAGTTTCTCCAAGTTTCAGGTCCCCTCAGGCTCTCCATGCATTTGTGCCTTTGGAACAGAGCCGAATGCGGTCATTGGTAAGTGGCCCTTCCTGGGGGAGGCAGCTCCAGGGCCTGGAGCCCCTTCTCCTTCTGCGGGGTTGCCCGGGGTTTTCCCAGGAGCTCACTCACAGCCCTTGTCCTGCAGCAGCAGGGGACAGGCATGTGTCCAGAACAGCCAGGGCTCGGCCTGCTGCTGCTCTCCACTCCTGGGAGGGGCTGTGAGTGAAAGGGTCTCCTTCTGTCCCAGCAATCTGTGCCGACGGCAGCTACTACAAGTTCCTGTTCAACCCCAAGGGCGAGTGCATCCGGGACGTGTATGCGCAGTTCCTGGAAATGACCGATGACAAACTGTGACTTCACCGTGAGCAGGCTGTGCTTGCCGCCCAGCGCCCCCGGTCTCCTGGGGCTGGTGCCAGTGCCCCAGAGCCTCATGGGAACGGGGCTGGAGGGATTGCCCAGGACCTCAGTCTCGAAGCCATATGTGGTTCTCTGCCTTCCTGAGAAAGGTCTCCCATTACCCGACTTAAAGAGAGTGCTCATCACCACACCTGGACACTCGGTGGCTCTGGGCAGCCCATGCTGGCCTGCCAGCCACTGCCCTTTAGCTCAGCTGCCACCTTAGCTAGTAGCTCCAGCACATCCTCCACTGGTGGGCTCCATCCCAGCCTAGGGACAGGGCTGCCAAGAATGGGCACAAGGACGTTTGTTCCTGCCACAAACCCACTGTTTTTCGGAGAAGCAGACAAGTGAATAAGTCAGCAGTGCAACACCACCTGGAGCCCGCACCTGCAGTCCTGGCACCTGGACACGTGTCTCTTGGGAGCACAGCCTGCTCTGGGCCTCAAGTGGCTGTCCCCACCCTGTTGGAGCCATTAGGACGAGGCTAACACTACCCTCCAGCACAGAGCTGTGTCCACCCACCAGAGCCCTGTCCTTATGGGGGTGCTGTGGCGCTTCCCCACCATCTGTGGGTACAGAGCAGCGAGCACAGTGTCTGAAGGTTGGTCATGGAGGAGAGCGCCACTGCTGTGGGCAGCAGCCCTGCCGGTCCTGCCCGGCGTGGAGGGAGTTGCCTCTGCCTCTCCTGCCCACTTCCCTCTCCACCACCCTCCCTCCCCAGCACTTGTGAGTAGCTGCACACTAACCTTCTGGGAGCCGAAGGCTCTTGCCATTTTTAACACTTGGTGACTGCGCCAGGTCATGGGCTCCACATTGTCCATGCTGTTGAGCTACGTGTTTAATTTTCGTAAATTCCTGTTAGAGAAGCTTTCTTCTGTGATTTTCATTTCAGGTTGCAAACTTTTAAAATCTGTGTAGTGGCAAGTTCTCAGTTTTGCCGTTTCCTTTGCTGTTGTGTGGTCTGCTGTCTGTGAGTTCCATGTCAAGTATGCATGTTACCTGTGTGTATTTAATCATGAACTTTAATTTTGCACACATATTTGTACTGTTTCATTAAATAAAAGTGACTAATTTTGTCGTACTCCACCTCTACAGCATGGAGCAGTGCGCTGGGGAGTCCTACATCCTCTTTGGTTAGGGTTAGGGACGTCTCCGAGGAGGGGGGTGTCTCTGGGCCACCCTGCTCACCTGCACTGTGTGCATGGCCCCTAACAGTTCATGGGCAGAGGCCAAGTGCTACAGGAGCATCATCAGTCCTACCTTGGAGAGCAGAGGCGGGGACAGTAATGCCCATTCTTCTGCACCTCTATCCCCATGGGGCCTGCTGTGGCCTCCCTTTCAGAGGCACCAAGGCTGCTGTCCAGGGCCATGCTGGTGCAAAGTGTGGAGCCTGTTTTACTGGGCAAGGCAGGAGGAGTTGTGGTGGCCACTTCCCCAAATGCAGTCTAGGGTGCTGAAGTTAAAGCAGATGTGCTTACAGGCTTTTCTCACTGGGTGGGAGCGGGGTGGGCTGCAGACCTGCTATTGGCGCACAGGCTGTGCTGTGTGGTGGGGACACAGCAGGTGCTACTGGCGTTGAGGACGTGGCTGGCTGGCCCTGAAGGCCCTGACCGCTGAGGCTGTGGTTGCTGGGCTGGTCTCCTGCAGTCCCAGTTGCTCCCTCAGCATGAGATGGTGTCGGCTCAGCCCTCACAAGGGGCTCAGGTGTGTCCTGGCACTTCGTCCCTTTCCACCGTCTCCCTGGATAGCAGGCAAGGCCTGGAAGGGTTCAGTACTACATGTGCTTGACCTCTAGGAGTTAGTGTCCCTGCACCTTGGTCTGTTGAAGCTCCATGGATTTGCTCAGAGCAGCAGAGGTCTGCACACTGTTGGGCCACCTCCAGCCTCCATCAAGCATCTCCTGTACTGGGCCCCGACCAAGATACAGTCCTCAGGGATTCCAAAAGCCTGTGCTCCCTCTTCCTTCTTGCAGGTGTGGCTGTCCTCCAGGCTCTGCAGGCCTGTGGCGTGGAGGACACTTACCCGGCATCCTCCAGCCTCCCTGGTCCTCAGCCCTTCCCAGAAACCCAGGGCCCCCATGCTGTGCAAGGGTACCTGCAGAGCACCCTGCTGTGTGTGGCAGCCTTGTGGACCCTGGCCTCTGCCTCCCACCTCCCTCTACTTTGGCCATGGCGTGGGCTCTTGCAGCCTCCCGTGGCCACAGGTTGTCACTGGTGTTTCCTTTCTGTAGCCAAACCAAGCTCCGGTACAGGATGGCCCTCCCCATTCTGCAGCTCCCTGCAAGAGGCATTTGATTGCCACATCTTGGAGCTTGTACCCAAATCTCTTCAATGGATCGGAAAGAACTACAACTGAACGACCAAGATCCCCGTGGAGCAGAGAAGAGCAGATGGAGCAGAGGACGTTGCACCGCTGCCAAATCCCAGGCAGCACCGGGTCCTACTTCCTTATGTCTCAGACTGTGAGCCATGTGCGTGTTGGAGCCTTGTGCTGCACCAGACGATGTAGAAACGGAGGCCACACAGACAGGCTCCCAGGCCAGTCTGGTTATGTCTTTGGAGCAAAGGGACTGGAATTGCTGGGCCTGAGGGCTTTGAGTTCAGTATGCATTTGCCACCTCCTCACCTGGAGCCCTGACCCATCCTGGAGCCGTTTTCTGTGAAAGAACCGAGAGCCAGTGGCAGTGGGTGGGGCTGCCTGGGGAACACTGGCTGCTCCAGAAGCCTTGGTGGGACCAGAGGGCAGCTGTTGCTGTCAGGTGGCCTTTCATCTAGAATAGCAGCTCAAAACACTGGAAATGTGGGGATGGTCAGCTGTCAGGTGCCTTGGGGGCTGAGCTCGCCCCTGGGGTCAGTCCAGAGGCTGGCAGGGCCTGTCCACGCTGCACCCTTCTGACACGCAGCTGCTTTGAGGTGGGAAGAAGCCACACCTCCTCTCCCATTTCCTGTGTTCTGCTGGACAGGAGGGACCTGGGGTATGTGGCTGGCTCCGCCTCGATTGTGGGGGCTTCATCAGACTGGAAGCCCCCTGGACGATTCATGTTCCTACCCCAGCTGCCCCAGGAAAGGCAGGCTCCACACTCTGGCTACAGAGCACTGCGACACACGCCACCTGCTGTTGGTGGTACCCTGGTGTAGGTTCATCACCCGCAAAGCCTGTGCCCTGCCTCTCACAGCCACGTGTGGCTTACACTGGTCCTGGTGCTCGGGGATGCTTGATCTTGAGCGTTCTCTCGTATTCGTCTACTCCGACGGCCACTTGTGCCTGTCTCTGTGACTCCAGCTGTGGCGTGGACACAGCAGATGTTTCCTTGGCCTGGCTGCCTTGTGAGCTGCTGAGGAATGTGCATGGCTGGGCAGTGGCCTGGGAATGGAGGGCAGGGCTGGCGCAGAGGACGCCGGGGCAGCCTGTTGGGCCCAGGCTGGGTGGCGATGGCCTGTTTCCCATGTTCTGTGGGTGTGGGCACTACCTGGCTTTGGGGCTCTGGGCGCCTGCACATGGATGTGGTTCATGCTGGGCACTGGAGCTTCTGTGCTGTGGGCATTGGTTCAAGGACGTCTGCTGCATGCAGCCTCCTCCAGATGCAGACATGCGCTGCATCGTAGGGGCAGAGGTGTGCTTGGTACAGGTGCCTGGCAGTGCCAAGGGAGATGCCACCTGTGGACCGCAGAAGCTTGTGGGGTCACCAGTAGGTGCCTGACCTGCATCCCCCTGCTGAGCTGGGCTCTGGCAGAACCTGAGCCTGTGGGGCAGGTGAAGGGGAGGGTCTGCCAGACACTGGGAAGCGGACGTCCTAGTCACCTCCCCAGTGGGTGTGACCCCTGAAGAGCCAGTGATCTTGGGCTTCTATTTCCCAGTCTGCACAAAGGCTCAGATTCTCGCTGCCATTTCCGGCCCCCTGCTCGGAGTACACACCAGTGTCACCATGAGAGGCTCCACTGAGCTGGCTGTTTGTTCCTATCAGAGCTTGTGACCACAGAAGCCCTGGCCCAGCAGGCAGGAGAGAGAGCCCTGATGAGGTCAGCTTTGTGGTTAGGCCAGCTCATTGGATGACAGGTGGACGGTTGATCAGGTCAGATCACTGATTTGAACAGAATTTAGTTTTTATTTTAAAAGTTTAAGACCAAGAGCAAATTACTCTTCTAACTTCAGGGGCTGGGGGTACAGCTCAGTAGGTAGAGTGCTTGCCTCCCATGCACAGGTCCTCGGTCTAATCCCCAGCAAGGCCAAAAAAAAAAAAAAAAAGGGCTTTTCTATCTTCAAAGAAGGAATCATCTCAATCTTAAAATGCTTATTTTGAGCCAGGCACACTGGGGCACACCTATAAACCAGAAGCCTGAGACAGGGGGAATCACAAATTTGAGGTCAGCTTGGGCAACTTAGTGAGACCCTGATTCACAATAAAAAAATAAAAAGAGCTGGAGATGTAGTTCAGCAATTGAGCAGGGGTAGGAATCGACAGTGGGTGGAAGGCGGATGATGGTGGGTGAGGTGGGTGATGGTGGGTGGAAGGCGGATGATGGTGGCTGAGGTGGATGTTGGTGGGTGGAAGGCGGATGATGGTGGGTGAGGTGGATGTTGGTGGGTGAGGTTGTGGGCAATGGCCTCCTGGGCCCTGGGACCACAGGCATGTGCTGCCACGCCCAGCTTCTAGGTCTCCCTTTACAGACGGCAGGTGGGCCCTGCCTGCTAGAAGTCTGCTGTAGGCCTATCCAGTGTCCAGAGGGGTGCTGACTTAAAGGTCCTCTTAGGAAGACACATGATCGGGGCCTCCCTTCTTCCTGTGACCTCAGCCCAACCTGGTGACAGCTATAGGTCCATTTCACAGGTCCCAGGGTCTGGTCAGAGCATCTCTGGGAATGGTCCAGCCCACCAGCCTGGCAGGCACCTCTCACATCCGGCTGCTCTTCCCTTGCCCTCGGCTGGCTCTGCGCTGGGTGCCATCCCGTGTAGCCATTGCTTGTCCCAAGGTCCTGAGGTCTGCTGTGTGAGCATGAGAGTGACATGAGAGGTACCTTCACTTCTGGACCTGTTGCTTTCCTAAATGACCCTGTATCCCAGAGCACCTAGAGCATCTCCCCAGTTGCTTAAGGGGACACAGAGACTACCCCAACATGCATGTTCAGAAAGAGCTGCCTGGTTGCTTCAAAACCCTGAGTGAGCCTTGGCCCCTCCAGACTTGGCCCCCAGCAGCCTCCTCCTGGGCCTTCCTAGCTGGCTCAGGGCCCCTACTGCTGTGAATGCCCCAGTGAGACCACCCGCACATTGCGTCCACGCGTCATGGTGCTGAGGGTCTTTGCGTGGGGTGCCATGGCCTCGTTCCTCCTGTGCTGAACAGCACCCCTGAATATGGTGACCACATTTGCCCTCCTCTGGTGGCGCATGGCTGTGGCCTGCAGCTTTGGCTCTGCAGTGAATGGTACTGAGACATGCTGGGCCACGCTGGACACTGACCCTCAGACATTACGAGCACTGCCTCCCTGCCCTCTTCACCTCAAGACAGGACTCACCAAGCAGACAGGCTGGCAGGATCGAGGCCGCTCTCCCAGGTGGCTCGCGCCTGGCTGCGGGTGCTGCTCCTGTGCGATGACAGGTCATGCTGAGGTGCTGCCTGGCGCCAGACCCCAGAGGACTGAAGACGCCCATGAGGTCTCCACCCGGGGTCTGGTCTCTGAAGGCACTGTGCAAAGACACACTGCAGCAAAGACCAGGAACCCTGGAGGACTGCTAGGCCTGCTCTGAAGGTCACATGCTCTGAAGAAATTAAGAGGAAAAACTCGGCTGTCCTATTTGCCCAGTCACCTCCTGTGTCCTCGCTTCTCCTCAGGTTCCAGTTGGGCTTGGGGCCTCTGCAGGACTCTAGTGGCACCCCTGGTAGCACAGCTCCCTGCTGGTGACTCTCCTTCAAGTGCCTTTGCTCCACCTGTGTCCTGCGTCCCAAGTTCAATCCTTGGGCAGCTTCCCTCGCCCTGGTCGCCCTGGTCGCCCTGGTCGCCCTGGTCTCGGGAACCTTTGCCCCGGGGCCTGAGAAAGTTTTCTGGCTGCTTTCAAGGCTTTGGGTTTATCCTCTCTGGGGTTCAC